TTGAAGCTTGTATTACGTATAATTACATACCTAACATATATATGTTGGGAAATTGATAATTTTGTAATTAAAAGTGATATTTTTAGGCGATTTTCATTTGTAAGAATATTCTTAAAAAATTATCTTGTTACCATGACAACTACTCTAGATACTTCCTGTTCGGAAAATACAACGGTTTTGCAAGCAAGGGGAGGGTTTCTGCATGCATGTATTTTCTAGTCTAGTACTTCTTATAAACCGACTAGTACGCTATCATGTATTGCGCGTTTTGATTGGCTACCTTACTAGTAGGCTATTAGTGATAGCTTACTAGTAGCAACCAGAGGCCAAGGGCGCGAGAGTCAATGGCCGCTTATATTAAGTATTAAAACAGGGCTTCCTATAACCAATAACGTTCCCAAAGTTCACGATCATGGTGATCGGCAGTCATGACTTTCTCTGCTTGGTTGGAAAACCTGCTTTTCCGCCGATCATAAGCAATTTCTTGCCGATCATGCTCATTGATGGGGGCATAAAGTAGAAAAACGCGGAGTTTCTCAAAAAATTGTTCACTTTGCCTAAAAATTCGATTTCAACGAGGCTCCGCGTTTTCAACTTTTTGGGGGCATAGAGTGAAAAACGCGGAGTCTGTCAAATAAATGTTTATTTTGCATAAAGATTCGATTTCAAAGAGACTCCTCGTTTTCCACTTTATGGGGGCATAAAGCAGAAAACGCGGAGTCTCGTTAAAATCGAATCTTTAGGGAAAATAAACAATTTTTGGACAGACTCTGTACTTCGTACTCCGTTCACCGACTCCGCACTCAGTCTTTTCCACCATGCCAAAAAATTGTTATCTTAGGGACCATTCATTATTTATGACTGGGGGTGGGTTGGCAAAAAAGGGGGTGGGTCATGAGGTATTTTTGAACGAAAAAGGGGGGGCACCTAAAAATATTGGTTCAGAAGGGGGGTCTGGTTACTTATTATTGTGATATTATAGTGGAGAAACATTTGACATGTAACGATTATTATTACAGGGAGGGAGTTAGACAGCAAATTTAATTCATGTATAGCTAACGAAATTCTTAATTTTAATCAACAGATATGCCCAAAATGCAATGCGCACAGCTAATATCATGAAAAATAATCAAACATCTACATTATAACTTTTGCCATAAACTTGCCATACATTTTTGTCATATTTCAATTATGTACATTTTAAGCAAAGGAAGATAATTGACCAGTAAGCGATGTAGCAACATTACATCCAGCGGTCCAGGGAAAGTTTGGCATATACTATATACACTAGTCTATACTAGGTATTTTATGCATGGTTTAATTTAGTAAAGAGTTTGTCAGTTTACTGTGTCAAGTCCGAGTCAAATGTCCAAGTCACTAGCTGTTTAGCGGTCTTTGTAGTTCATCGACGTAGTACGTATACCCTAACGCTACTCCTAACCCAGAGGCCGTAACAACCAGGGGGGTGGGGGCTGCAGCTCCCCCCCCCCCATCATTTGCTAATAATCATTCAATTTTCCAAAATCATGCAGTCTTTATCATTTAAATAATATACTTTAAAATACTGACAATTGATTAATTTTTAACGGCTACATTATCCATGACAAACCGCAAATAATGAAGATATTTTTCATACTTTCCTGCAACTTATCCAACATATAGTTAATTAATTAAATACGCCTTCGCCCATTTAGTGCTACTGAATTGTAAATTTCAACATACTAAAATGCTGTTTTCTGACCATCAGAATTCTGTCAAATCTTCTCCAAAGTCCAGGAAATGGCATTTCAGAGACTCTAAATTTTAAAATTTCCTCGGGCTTTTGGCGCTCGTTTTTAGCTAACCTAACCCTACTCCTAAGTACTCTATACTCCTGACCTGACTTTGCCTGTTAATGGAGAAGCTTTGCTAGGCATGTCCCGATTGTGCTCGGCAACTTTTGATCAACTTTTGACGATTCGAGCAAACTACACTCTACAGTTTACTAGTTACTACACTCTTTGTAGCGAAACATGTTAACCCAGTGCACCCTACTTATTTTTTTAAATGTTTAACGCCAGACGATTTTACTCGTCGTGACAGAAAACTCTGCAGCTTAATTAATGTGTTCAATAGGCATAGATATTAATTGTTATGATGCCTTTAACAATAAATTTAAAGAGCTCATTTCTATACAGTACTGTACATTTATTATATTATCGGTTAGGGTGGTGGGGGGGGGGGGAGTTACTATTGTTTAGAACTCATGTTAAGGAAGTCATTAAATTTTTTTGTGATGCAGGGGGTGGGACAAGACATTTTGTTTAGTTGTTAAGAGTGAATGTCAGTAAAAATCGAACATATAAGATTTTTCGCGGCCACGACAGAAAAATCGATTTTGCTCAAATTTTGCCCGGATATACCTTATTACTCCGCCTGCGCAGTGCGGAGTCTAAAAATGCCTGAGTCTGTTGTCGGTTGTCGTCAGTGTCACAAATAGGCTCCTTGATAAATGTGTACATTTCATGATATTTAGATACTTTCTATTGACATTTGTGGATAATGTTATACGATTTGGCAGCGCAATGCGCATGCTTACAGCTCTGCTTACAGTATTTTTCTAAACTGCGAACTGCGAAGTGCGAAACGGTCTTGTGCGATGTATATGAAAAATACTAAACGATGAAAAATACTAAAAAGATGAATGTCAAGACAAAGCTTCCAGACTCAACTGAGGTAAGGGATACTAAACATTCTAATTTTGGTAGTACATGCTGCATTTTGGCAACAAGAAATTCTTTAAAGTTATAAATATAAATAAAAATATTCACTCCTACTGTATGTCGTAATGTCGATCTTATATTCTTGACTAGCAAAATATATTCTTGTGTGAAAGGTCCCTACAATGTTCTGACCAGTTTAGGCTATGTAGTGTTGAAGCTATCGGGTTATTAAATATATTTCAATGTTTTGAAAAGTTTAGGAAATGTAGCATTGGGCTATTCCAATTATTATCCGCACCACCCTGTTGAGGAACCTTGGAATTTCCAGGGGAGGGGGTATATTAACCTTGGAATTTCCAGGGGAAGGGGTGTATTAACCTTGGAATTTCCAGGGGAGAGGTACATTAACTTTAAATTTCCAGGGGAGGGAATACATTAACTCTGGGATTTCTAGGGAAGGGGGTGCATTAACCCTGGAATTTCCAGGGAAGGGGGCATTTCCAAGAGGAGGAGTAATTTTCACATGGAATTTCCAGAGGGAGGGGTAAATTTGATGGGATGGAAATTCCACGAGAGGACATATGTTAGAGGGAAATTTCTGGGAGTATAAATGTCACATGCTGGAAATTCCATAGGGAGGGGTAATTTACACATGGAAATTCCATGGACAGGGCCAAATTTTAAATGGAAATTCCATGGGGAAGGCCTAACTTAGAATGGAAATTCCATGGGGAAGGGTAATTTTTACAAGGAAATTTCATGGGAAGGGGTAAATTTTACATAAAAATTTGCGGAAATTCCAGGAGAAGTACCGACATGAAAAAGGGGTTCCTCAACAAGGGGGGG